TTAAATTGTTAAAATAATTTTTATCCTAAGATAACACTAATTGTGTTTTCTCTTTTTTTCTGCATAATCTATTGAAACTGTGAAGGGAAGAGACATGATAATCGCTTTTGGAGGGATAAGTTACAAATTGATGTAAAACAATAGAAACTCTCACAAGTGATGAACATATAACTTTACCTTCTAATATCCACACATTATCCAGCAAACAAGTAATGAGAATACCCAAACTTATCAGGAAGAAGTGTTACTTTCATCTAACATCAAAAACCTACGAAATATTACGAGGAAATGTATATCAGGTAAAGGGGAGGATTAACAATTAGATCTTGGAAGTTTAAGGGTTAAACCACCACCAGTATAATCAGTGTGTCATCATTGTTGGTTGTAGTAAGTGCATTGTGATCTTATTTGCTCTGTCTTTTCTGTGTGGTAATTTTTTTTGTATTAATGTGGAATAGTTATAAATTATTGTAAAATGCAATCATGAGTATTTTATCAGACTAAGGGCTCCCATTTAACACTTAAGTATGGAGATGCAAAATTGCTTTGATACTTAGCAAAGAACTCTAAAAAACTCTTAAGTGTTTTGAAACATTATTTATTCTCAGGAAATTTGCCAAATCCGGGGGGGGGGGGGGGCTTTTTGTAGTTGTTTACTCCGGCTAGTATGACTGATTTTGCATATTTAATGTGAGTTGGTTCATTGGTTTCCATCACCAAGGTGATATTTTAACTGCATCAACAGAACACTTTATTGAATTGGTAATGATTACTAGAGTATCAAATAGGACAAACACTGGTTAAAGAGGAACTGGGGTCATTGTTATCAATCACATCTAAAAAGGGTAATTTGTGATTAATTTGCTTTTCCATAGTCAACCTGATGTTGGCGTGCCTAGAGTTGATATAATCGAAAAATATAGTGGCATCGTGCTCTGAGTGAAATAAACAAAAAGTATCATCATAACGGCGATAAAATAAAATTGTAGAGCCATGAAAATTTTTCAGCCAAAGTTTTACATGATGTCCCATAAAAAGATTAGCCAAGACGGGAGCAAGGGGAGACCCCATGGCTACACCATCTATTTGATCATAGAAAGAACCGTTAAATATGATATGAGTCTGGGCGGTAGCTGTAGTGAAGAGGTTTCTAAGTTCAGGTTTGCTTAGCTTAATGTTGGAATTGCCCTCGGAAATGTAATTGACCGCTAAGTCAGTACACTCCTCAAGAGGCATGTTAGTAAAGAGACTTTCAACATGAAAAGAAACCAAGAACTTGCAAGACATAGATAAAGATTGGATCTCTATCTATGTCTCTAGTTAACACTTTATGTGAAAGAAAAAAAAATGATGCAAAAAAAATTCTTATTCAAGACTTAATGTTATTCCCACACTCATGAAAATAGTTTAACCCTGTAACCCCTTGGTGTAACTAGCATCTAATTTCTCCTTACAATATCACCCTGAATCAAACATTAGGGTCATGAGAATAAAGGAAATGATCACCAACTGAAGAAGTTCTTTCTTTCTCTTTATTATTAAACAAATTCTCCTTGTCAGCATCTTAGGAAACGTCTAGAGAACAGTATGGAGAACGTGCATACTGATGTTTGAGGATGTGAAGAGTTGCTCAGTAAGTTTAAGTCCAAATTTATGTTGTTGTACTTTGTTTATGATAGACTCTTTATTTTCACTGGACACCTTTGACATCGCTGATCTTGACAGCACACAACACATTTTTTGCATATCAAGAACAGCTCCCGAGGTGATTTTGCTGACAAAGAGTAAGATTCTAGACTGCATAGCATTTAATTGTGACAGTGTACGCATCACCCTCCTGAGGGTGAATGGAGGAATACTCTCTTGGAAAATTGTAACAAAATAGAGTAGCTAATACACGCATTTCTTTGCCCTAAGCAAGAGTTTCAGCTACTGGGAAGGGTTTGAAGCCAGGACAAAGGGAACAACGATTACACCATATTTAGAAAGAGAATTACTGGTTATTTCTTAGGTACCTAACTGTTAAGCAGCAGTATGCTATATCAAAATCAATAGTTTGAATCAGAAACCTTAAATTAGAGAACGAGTAAAAACAATCTCAGCGTAAGAACATTAGACATAATTTTTTTGCGTGAGTCTCGCACTCAGTGTGTAACATTGCTTAAATTGAGCACGTTAGAGTGTACATATTCTAATCCAGCTTATACTTAATACTCAAGCTGCGTTGTTTTCATCTAGATGGCGACAATTCTTCCAACAGCAATAACGATAGCAAGATCTTATACTGAAATATTATATGTTTATTGTAAATTGCTCTGTCGGTAAACGAAAAATCTTTTAAGGAAGAGATAATACAAATGTTAGGAAAAGCTGACAAATAAATAATATCCACAGTTAATAAAAGTTTGAAGCAGAGAACGTGATTAATTAAGCAATTATTTACAACCTGAAAATACCTCTTTCTCCCATTTGTCTTGTTTAGATTAATTTGTATACGAACGTACAGACTCTTATCTTTTTAGGTGAAAATTACTACTACTACTTTCTTATTCTCTCTGGTACTCTATTCGGCATGGAGAGAAAATCGCATACAAAATCTTTTATGGTGAGAATGACTGCTACCATTTTTTTTTTCTTTCTCGCACTCCATTTAGCATGCACGGAAAACCTGCTTATAATCTCCTCTTCTACTTATATTTATATCATGAAGACTTGCCTCAAATTCATCTCTATTTGGCACTCACACAAAGTCTCTATAAGTAGTTTTTTTTTCTAAATAAGAATTACTACTACTCACAATTCTTTCTCGTACTCTATTCGGCACGGATAGCAAACCTGCATGTGAACTCTTTTTCCTGTAGAATTATCCCACGTAAAATTCTCCTCAATTCTCGTACTCTCGCACTCTCGTACTTGGCACGCACAGAAATTCTGCATATAACATCTTTGTAGGTAAGAATGACTATTACTGCCTTATTCTTTCTCGTGTTCTATTCGGCACGGGGAGAAAATTTGCAGATAAAAACTTTTTCCAATGAACATTATGTAACGTAGTATTTGCTTTAAGTCTAGCTCTACATCTCGCAGCACTCTTTTTTGGCACGCACAGAAAACTTGCATTTAAACTCTCTTCAAGGTTAGAATGAACACCAACGTTCTATTCTTTCTTGAACTCTATTTGGCACAGACCAAAATGTTGAAGATTTTCTCTTCAATTAACATCCTCTCTGCAAAGAACCGATACTATCATGGTTACACTTGACTCGACATGGGGACATTCGCACTCTTCTTAAAAATCTGCTATGAGTTGTACGTCTGCTTACCTGGACGCTGCGATGCTTGACATGACGAAACACCTTTGGGGTTTACTTTTCAAATGGTTTCTTTCAGACACTCTTATCTTATTCAGTTTCAGAGTAAGATTTTGCCGTCTTTATATAGCCGGGAAACAGCGTAGGATTTTGCAACTTTAGTAAAAAGTTACGGAAAGTGCTCATATGCACTGTTTCATAATTCAATACGTAGATATTTTCGTGATCGCTTTTGGTTAAACGGAGTTTAGATAACCGTGTGATTACGTAGTAAAGAGGGGTGTTTTGCGTTGATTTCATCTTGCCTTTATTCTGATCAATTTCTGAACCTGGCATTTCCTAAGTTTTTCAGTTTAAACGTGACTTAGATAATTCGAGAGTTCGCAAATGTATTTTAGCCGAAACCATTTAGATTTGGTGACATGGAGTAAAAAAATTACACTCAAACAAAACGATCTCTAATGTCTCAAAAAGTGAGGGAAGGGGGGACGAAAAAAACAGCTCAGTCTAATTTAAGGAAGACGGATTTCTACTCAGTTATAGTATTCAACCACTGGCTACTATGATGTTCCAGCCGCAATCTGTGTTTTGGTCAAGAGTAATACTTGTTGATGGCTGAAGGGTGATCTTGCGTGACAAACATTGAGTAACTTTGCATAATCAGCCATAATTTATGGTGTGTGCTCTTTTCGGCATTCTGCTCAATTCGGCATTTTACTGCCACTTGTGCCGTTTCTAGCGTTTCGAACGTTTGCAATTCATTAAAGCAAATTCGGGGCGTGTGGTTTAGGTGGGTGCGTGTGTGCGTGTGTGCGTGTGTGTGTTTATTTTGTTTTTTTCATTTCAGTCATAATTCTAGCAAATGTGAAAAACTACGAAGCTTGCATATACTATAACTTTGGAGGCCAATCATGATTACACTCGCCTTTGAGGAAGAACAGAAATCTGATAACTGTTTACCTCCAGATAAACAAGACAGTTTAAAGTCTTCCCTCTCACGCAGCATTCTGCCCATAAATTACGGTCTTGCCTCTGTACTCACCAGTTACGCACAGATTCCGTAATTCGCCGTAGCTTAGTATTGTACATCTCCACCTTTTTTGGGCTTAAGAGAACTTAAAAAATTGTATAGACGTTACTCAATCTAATTGAAAAACTGAACATACTCATCAGACCTCGTGATGTGATCTTCCAATGAAACAACTAAAATTTTTACATGGTCACGGGTTCCATTTACCGTACACTCCATTAAGTGCTTACTTAATACCTTTCATCACTGCACATAGATCGGGAGTTATCACCTTCTTTCAGTTTATTATCTCTTGCCTCCTTCTAACATCTATTTTACACTTTATAGAATCGGACCTTTCCCTTCAACGGACCGTTTATGGGCCATAGTCGGCTGATTACCTGGCGCGGTGTCTTAAAAAATGTTTGAATATGAAAGTATTGCGAACCGCACACGATTAGTATTTTAAGGACACAGCCATCAATGTTTTTTTTTCTTTTCTAGGAAATACTGATCCTGTCATAAAGGCCCTAAGAAGTCAGAAATACGTCAAAACATGCCCAATAACGTTACCTCATTGGTCAGATTTTATGAGTGATTTTAAGATTCCTTTCCGCTTGAGGTGGTTTCGCTTTTAACTTTTATCGATATCGTAACTTTCCCTATCTTCGGATCTTGCCATGGATATCAAAACCTTACTAAACAATCTTCATGAAGAGGTCTCCTGTTCTGTGTGTATGAACACATTCACTGTTCCGAAAACGCTGCCATGTTTACATGTCTTCTGCCTGCATTGTTTGAACAGGATTCTTCGAACGAGTGGCCGCCACGATATCATCGCATGCCCTGAATGTCGGAAAGAGATTCAAGTCCCTAGAAGCGGAAATCTTGGGGATCTTCCAACTAACTTTCGCATCAACAGTCTCCTTGACGTGTTGGCCATCAAAGAGTGCAGTGTTACTGGAGTTAAGTGTGGAAATTGCGAAGAGAGCAGCTCCCAAAGCTTTTACTGCTTCCAATGTTGTGCATTCTGGTGCGAGGCTAACTGCATCATTCATCACAATGGAATAAAAGCGAATAAGGAACACCTTGTATTAGCGCTCAAAGACTTTAAAGACCAAGATTTTGAAAATGTTTTGAAGCGACCGGTATTTTGTCGCAGCCGTGGCCACGAGAGTAAGCAATTGGAGTTTTTCTGCAAAAATTGCTGTGTTGCAATTTGCTATTCGTGTGTTGCCACTACTCATGACGGTCACGCCAAGATGCTTTTGGAGGAAGCTGCAAATGAAAGAAAATTACAAGCGAAGTCTGCGATCGAAAATCAGAGGAAAACAGCATTGGAGAAGAGACGACAAATTGCTCGACTTGACTCGGATTGCGCCAAAATTCAAGAACATGTCGCCAGTGTAAAGAAAGGCGTGCAACAGTTTGTCGACAACATGATGGCTGTTATCGAGGCACAAAAGCAAGAAATCTTTGATGACTTAGACAACAGGGCAGCAGAGTCCATGCATCGGCTGTGGATACAAAGAGGTGAGATTGAAAAGCAAGTAAAAATAACTGAAACAGGCATCGAAGCTACTAAGGCAATTCTGCAACGGAACATTAGCGCTGAAATCATGCAGTCAAACAAAATTCTAGAAGAAACATTTCAGGGTCAAGTTGAGGCAGCGTATCCTCCCATTGGTAATCAAAGCAATGTAGATTTTGGATTTGTGAGAAATCAACGATTGTTTGATCATGTATGGACTGACAGAATTGGCTTTGTGAAAGTACTTCCTACTAGTCCAACTGAGTCGAACGCCTCCGGAGAAGGAATCAGCGAGCCGACCATTGGACTAGAAGCAAACATAAAGTTGACAACAAGAAATGCTAAAGGAGAACAATGTTATGAAGAACGTGACTATGTAACAGTGGAGATCAAAAATCAGGAAGGCCATGACTGTGCAACGGAGACTCGAGTCCAGGATAACAAAGATGGTAGCTACAAGATCAGCTATTTTGCTAAAGAAACCGGAAAATGCCGTGTGTCTGTGAAGGTCAATGGAGAGCACATTCGTTACAGTCCCTTTGCTGCTGAAGTAAAACCCAGACTGTTGGAACTCGGCGGGTTATCCTCCAGCAGATATAGTGTGGACAGATATTCGGCGTGGACGTGAAATAGTAGTAAATAGCAGTAGTAAACAAACGCGATGAAATTGCAGTCGCTGGCAATGGTAACAACAGGGTCCAGGTATTCAGTAGTGATGAAACTTACTTAAGATCATTTGGGTCTAAGGAGGATACAAAGGGAGAGTCTAACTTGCCTACAGGGGTTGCAATCGATAATGAAAACGGAATCATCTTAATAGCAGATACTGAGAACCACCGAATTCAATTTTTTAGTGGGCAGGGAAAGTTTCTGAACAATTTTGGTGAAAAGGGAAATCTTGATCACCAACTCAAGTTTCCCCACGGGTTATCCTTCGGTAGTGACGGAAATTGTATTGTGGCTGATACCGGAAATAAGAAAATTAAATTATTTTCCCGTACCGGCCAGTTTCTCCGTAGTATAGGCTCCGAGGGTTCTTTCACAGTACCCATTCACTGTATCCAGTATAAGGAATATCTTATAGCATCAGACTTTAATGAACACTGTATCAAAGTTTTTGACAAAGCTGGACATTTTCTGTACAAATTTGGAAAGTATGGAACAGGGGACGGAGAGTTCAATGGACCTTATCATTTGTCAATTAACAAAGCTGAGCACCTGATGGTCTGTGATAGAAACAATCACAGAATTCAGGTGTTTGAGGTGAATGGAAAGTTTGTTGGAAAATTTGGCTCAAAAGGAAAAAAGGTAGGACTATTTACTGGACCATTCTCTATAGCAGTCCTCAGTGATGGTAGGATAGTTGTTACTGACTTTCACAATCATCGGGTCCAGATATTTGAGAAGCCGTATCCTCTGTTGTCTTATAATAGTGTTATGATAGTGTTATAATAGTAATATCATTAATCTTTCCGGTTCTTTAAACATTATTGACTACATGTGAAAGCTTCTTGTTACATTTGTAGGTTGAAACTTGTTTTTTTCACAATGTTTTACGACATTCGCTCCAATTGTAGCCAAGAAGATATACACGCACAAACGAGTTACAATAGACATAGCTCTATATCCAGAGAGTTGAGTATTAATTTCATAGAGTATTAAGTTCGATAATTTGTCAGTTTACAAGACTCGATTTGGCGATTCATTATGTACTCTTTGAGACTGACTGTTCACCTCTGAGGTAGTAGTTAGTGGTCAGGGAGTGAATTTTTTTTGATTTTGTTGTTGTGTTAGTTGTTTTTGGATTTGATCAAATTCAGTGCGAAAATATCTCTCTAATAAGGAGGGATTTATTCTAAGATCACAAACCTACCGTCACAAACCTACCGTCACAAACCTACCGTCTATTGCACCTATAAACCTATAAAAAATTGCAAGTTCATTTTTTTAAAAGCAGTAGACTGCACTTTCTGTCATTAACTGGTGAAATAAATACAAATAGATCACTAATATAATAAATCACAAGCTGGAGGCGAGTGACATGTATATAAACTTTTCTTGTCATCTTACAACATCATACATGGGTCATTATGCAGGTAAACCGATATAAGGTGTTGTGTCCTTATTAAATGGAGCCTGAATAGGAGACTTATGATATCTGTCTGTGTTTTACCCAATATTGATGGAATGGCAAATACTCACCAAAAAGGCACCCAAATTGTACATGATTCTCCTCATGAAAAACTTCACACGCGCATTGAAATTGAATGGATTTTCTCAACTGGTCTTGGAACAGTTCTCTTTTTAGCTGAGATTACAATGCTCTGTTGGGTTAAGTTTTACAATTACAGTAAGCCTGCAGCTATGGCTGCTTCTTTGGTATTAGTAGCAGTATGCATTGTCTTTGTATGGTTTGCTGTGCATTTTTACTGATCTCTTGTCCAACACAAATAGATATTTTCAGGGAATTGAAGAACTTTAACAGATTGCAAACCAACTGTACACAGATACAAGGACGGCATCCATGTCCTAATCCCGGGGTTTCAGATAGTTTCCCTTGCGAACTGAATTCCCAGTTTTCTGGGAATTCCTAGGAATTCCTAGGAATTCTAAAAAATTCCCAATTATGCAAATGACCCTTGCAAACTGAATTCCCAGTTTTCTGGGAATTCCTGGGAATTCCTAGGAATTCCTAGGAATTCCTAGGAATTCTCAAAAATTCCCAACTATGCAAATTAACTCTGATTTAAAAAGCTTGGAATTACTGGGAATTTCTGGGAAGGGAAGACTCTAGTTTTGTGAGGACTTGGAATCCCTAGGAATTCCTAGGAATTCTCAGCTTTACAAACTACCTATAATTTAAGAAGTGTGGAACTCTTGGGAATTTCTGGGAATTGAATTTGAGGCAATTTTAATACCCTGAGGTCCACATAAATTCTAAGAAATTCTCAATACCTTGAATGTGAAGGTTTTAAGAAAAGGAGTAAGGAGGCTTAAAACTTTGGCTCAATAAAAGGTATGCTATACAAAACGTACCTAGAGATATACATACATGTATATGTTTATAACTTAAAGATCATGAAATTTATTATTCAAACTAAGTTTTAGTAAATCTTTACTTTAATATGGATTTTCTCATGAACCAGCTGTCAGTTATGTTAAATGGAAAATTGCCAATTAATCCAATGTACTCATATCACAGATTTGCTTTCTAACCTCAAAGGACTCTTGGATTCCATGATCAAAAAATATTTTTATTGTGATGCAAATTAATGTCTCATGTTCACTGATGTGCCAAAATCATCAAACATTCATTGGCTGTTCCTTGGTACACAACTTCCACAATAATTAATAATAATTACATTGTTATCTACACTTAAAGAACTTTGTTAGTTATGAACATAAGTTACTTCCCTAACCTACATTACTGGTTGCCTTTGTTAGAAAACCTTGGAACAGTCAAGCTCAGTTGCCTCAAACACTGTCAGAGACTTTTTGTTGACAATATTTTTAGTAGAAATTTCATGCCTTAGACAAACAAATTCAACACCTAATTAATCTTTCTTTTTTCATGATTGTTGTTGCTGTTTTTTTTTTCAGTTTTTTGCTCTGTTTTTGTGACTAATTGCTGTAATTTGTTTTGCTGTTTTTATTCTTACAAAACATTTTTGTAAGAGTTCCAAAACTAGTGGATCATCCACACACTTTGCAAACATTTGGCATGCAATCTTTGAGAAAAAACACCTTTTAAATGACATCTTCAATTTACTTTATTTGAAACTCTGATCTGAAAATATTTGTCAACAAGACTTGTTAGTAGTGAGAAGTACCAACCAAGTTTCCTTTCATAACTTAATTTCTTAAGTGTCCCAATCACTGGATCTCCCAAAAAATATTACATCGTTTTATTTTTGGTGCAAAATACAAGTCCTTCTTTATATAAAAATGAAAATTGCAAGTCACACTTCAATAATAACAGCTCTAAAGTTTACTTGTTGTTCTTCTCTGTCTGTCATCTATCAACAAAATTGTTTTATACTTCGGACAGTGCATAACTATTTGTGGACCAGAGTTCCAACGCACCTCTGTAATCGCATATAGTTACTTCTGTCTCTTGTACAAATTTTCTCCTTTGTAAGACGCACTCTACTCTGTTGTCACTACTGCTTTGAGTTCAGTGGAAACGACTGACTGAGGAATCGAGATGGCGGTGTTGGTACATGTTGCTGAACGCTTGCTACGGTCAAGCTTTGTAGATTTAGGTACTGGTACACTGGGATCATCTATGTATCTCTTATACTTCCTAATGTGGTATCCTTCTTTTATAAATATGAGGGTAAAAGACGATTTGTAGTCGCATTCAAAACTGTGATTGGCTTGTGTTATTTCTCACCTTTGCCATGAACACAACTCAAGTGAGTTTCAAGTCTTTGTTTCCTCGACAACTTTCGGCCACAAATCGTGCATTTGTAATACGATCGATTCTTGTCGATTCTTTCCACATAGAGTGAGCTCACATCATTATTTATATCACCAAGGTATTCATTGTCTAGAAGCAGAGAACCGGTCGGAGAAGTCAAAATAAAGTTGTGCGCTTCTCTTAACACTGCAATCGGCAAGCCAGCGGATTCACTTTGCTAGCCAATGACAAGTCCTAAAAGATCCACGTGATCATGCCCGTGATCGGAAACAAAGAAGACTCTATTTGGCGCTCATCTTTGAATGTACTTTTCATCGATTGATCGTTTTTCTCAACTGTTTTGCTTAATATAACATTTCTAAAGATAGCTTTTATTGTGGTTCAATGGGAAAACGAGAACAGCGTGAGTGTTGTAAAAGAAAAGAAAGTCGTTGGCGCCGTGGAGTTAAAAGAAAGGACAACAGTTGACATATTGACTGGTACAAACAAGGGTCGAGTGGCCATCTGTAAAGCTACGATTTTGAAAGTTTGTGGTGAGTAAAAATTGCGATATTCGTTACGTGATCAAAATCTTATAAAAGAATAGATGTAGCGGGTTGAATTAAGCTTACATAACGCTCGGTGCAACTGAAACTAGAATAATTCTGAGAATCGAATCGGTCACTTGCATGCCGCAGTTTCTTAAGCTTATGCTTTACAATGAAATAAACCTATCAGTAAGGTTTCAAGATTCCTCTAGTCACGTTTGGGAACATTCAAGATTCATGATAGGAACTGTTGTTAAACAAACCTTATTACATAAAGAAGCCCTCCTTGGTAAAAACAAAATAATGTATTCAGCCCTTTTTTAGTAAAATCTATGAGAGAGATGTACTAACTCCAATATAAAAGTCACTCAATATAACAGAGATTTCTCAATTTGAGAATCCAATGAATGCCCTTTTCCTCATAGCCGTCTCAAAAGCCTGGTCTGAGCTTTAAATATACATATTTTAATATATTATTTTTTTTCAAATTCAGATGTCAAGGAATCCAGATACAAAATGGTCAAGGTTCTTGTAGACAACCTCATTCAAGGCCAACTCATTGTGAGCCCAGGAAAAAAAATACAAACAGTACAAACAGCAGCTAAGTTTGCAATTTAGGATAAATTCATTCTAATTTATTGTTACAGTTACAACAAGATTTTAATAAAAAAAATCAATTTTATTTGTCTGTAATTAGCCCCTTCACTCCCAAGAGTGCTTGGTTTTCAGGTATAACTTAAGATATTGTATTTTATGGAAAAGAATCAACAGATTTTATTCACAATTTGTGTCAAACAAAATTTAATGGTTGATTAGAACTATTTTATATGAATAGCTGTAATTGAGGATTAATCCGTATGAAGTTTTCAAGAAAAGAAAAATAAATCAAATTCCATCCTAATATTACCACACATTGATGTTAATAATTAATCAAAAATATTTTACATGTAAGCCTTAATTAAGCTTCTAAATAAATTTCATTGAATACTTGAATTTTAGCTGGGTCTTTTTAATTTAAAGTATTTATTTTATATCATTAGCCTCAAATTTTTGCTTAAAATTCCCAGTAATTCTTAAACATTCCTAAAAATTCCTAAAAATTCCCAGAAATTCCTAGGAATTTTTTAGATTGACAGCTTTTCAGGGAAAGTCATTGGTTCTCTGAGTTGGAATTTCTAGGAATTCCAAGTCCTGTTGGCTATAAACTTGGAATTTCTGGGGATTTCTGGGAATTTCTAGGAATTTCTAGGTTTTTAGAACCAGAGTTGTTATGGTTGGGAATTCCCAGTCCGAATTTACCGTGAAAATTCACACCTTTATTCCTTGGAATTCCTAGGAATTCCAAAAGCCATTTCGCAAGGGCGGGGTTTCAGATAGTTTTTACTTCACAAACCTGGTGTGTCATATTTTTTATTGGCATGCTCCTTGTTCATACTGCACCTTCCAAAATCTAATTTGCAATCCTCCCTTTTGCTGCTTCTCTGTTCCTTCCAAATTGTTAAGATAATTTTTTTCAAGATAATTCCCTTTAGCATATACACTATGTTTTCTTATAACCTTTTTTCTGGATAACTTATTGAAACTGTAAAGGGAAGAGACTTGATATGCACTTTTGGAGGGATAAGTTACAAATTGATATAAAACAATAGAAACTCTTAGAAGTGATAAACATATAACTTTACCTAATGATATCTGCACATTAT